TATGGTACCTGGGGAGTATATGACTTGGCAAATTAAGAAGTCAAAAACACTGAATCAACCTAACCATTCATGTGATTGAATCTTTGTATAAAGATTACTTATGATGTGGTTAAGTCATTACTTCCTATGATGTGATATACGAAATGTGCATGTCGATAATGATGGTTATGTGATGGTTTTCTATGGTGTTTTATACAATGATATACCATTAGATGTGTGATGTTTCGCTATGTTGGGGTGAGGTTACACCGTATGATGCATACATGTTCATACAGTGAGTTACCAAGAGACTGGGTGATGATCCTTATTTTGTGAATGTATGAATTCTTTGAGTTTGAGATGATGAATGTGATATGGCATGTGGTGATGAATCGATATTTATTTGACTGAATGAGATATAACATATCGGGTGTATCTTGATAGTTAAGTTAAGCCAATAAGGGCTGAGAGGTGGGTGATGGGAAACTGATTGCTCCACATTCCACCATGGTCACTGAGAGGGACAATAAGTCCTTTCGAGCTATACTCTTAAAGGTAACGTAGAAGAATTAGATCATTATCTTATGAGTCGGGTTATCCAGCGAGTATAACTGGTTACTAAAAATAGTAATAGTAATATATGTATTACGGTGCCACATTAAGTAAGGATTAAAATAGTTATTTACATCTGGACCATTATATATATCCAATAGCTTAAAATTCATTTAGAAATCTTGCTTAATTTAGGTGTTATGCATATGAACATGACTCAAAGTTGCACATCTACACTCATACGGGTAAAAAAATGAACTTATGTCGAACAACATTAAGAGAATAGAACGACATTATAATTATGTAAGGAAAAAGAGTTATGACAATGTGTTTTATAATTGTGCATGGAAGAAAATGTAATGGCGTAAGAAAAATGAAAAGAGAAAGAAATTGAAATCGCATAAAAGAAAAGATAATGATATCATTTTAATATGCGAGAAATGTCAAATTCAATCCCTAAAGATGACAAATACATATATGTATATGTATATTACTTGTAACTTCTTTTACCAATTGTAGAATATGACTGAATTATGTTGATATGTTTCATTAATCTTAAAGTATAGGAACAATTCACATTAATAAGTTATTATGACTATGATTTTGACTTAGCAAACCATTATTTTTACTTCATGCTATTATCTCTAAGTAATTTAATAAGCACACAAAAATTGATTTTTTTTCTAGTACATCGCGAAAGAGTGTATTAGTTCGGATATTTATAGTAGTTATTTTGTATTTTGAGTTTGGTCTCTTCCCAACCCCAACTTGAACGGCTTAAGAAAAGAAAAAGTGAACCAAAAGAGTTGGGGTTGGGGAGAGACCAAACCCAAAATACAAAATACAAAACAAATAAACAAAACCACAAGAAGTAAACAACTCCTGCAAAACACAAACCCCAAACAGCCCACCTTAAAGACTACCAACAGGCCCCAAACAAACGTCATAAACGAGCCCGCCTAAAACAAAAAACCCCCAAGCTACAAATCCTAACAGAGAAACTAAGCTCATAAAAACAAAAAGAAAAGAACCCAACCAAAGTTTCCACCAACAGGCCCCAAACCAAACAAAAAACGAGCCCACCAAATGGAGTTTTGTACTGTATTCTTGGTCATGGCGAGGTCCTACTACTAACAGTGACTGTTCCAAATTCAATACTACCGCAGTTGTGTACTGGTTTGAATTACTCTGTGCTAGGGGCTTAGGGCCATATTTGATGAACTTCTCCATCTCTATCAGTTGACAAACATAGGTTTGAGGGTGGATGAGAGCATACAAGTTCTTGTTTTATGGTCATTGAACAAATTCAAAAGAGAACTCGATCATTAAATCTTTATCTACAATAGACATTGAATTATCGAACTCTTTTAAGTATATATCTGTATATGGTTCAAACTTATCTCTACACGAACATTGACAAGATAAGCAACTCATGCTTTTATCAGGCGCCGCTTATGTTTCTAAAGAAAGAAAACAATGCATCAGACGAGTTCTGCTATCAGATGACAACACCACAATAATCGTGAGGGCGTGTAGACAATCATAGCTACTGTACTAACTCAAAACTAGAGCTCACAGGAGATGATGATATCCAGCTAGGATAAGAACAAAACTTCAATTCTTTACATTGACAGAAAACACCATAATTGAGAGTTAAAGATCGTTAGCACTTAGTAGAAGTGTGTTTGCAGAGCCAAGTAGTATCCGGTTATTCAATGCTTATCTACAACAAGGTTGTTAAACCCCTATCGAACAACCCGGTTCGACCCGGTTCGAACCGAGTCGGGTTTCAAAACAGCCTCCAGAAAACCCCCCGGTCTGACCCCTAAACAGGGAGAAGAAGAGAGGCGGAAGAGAGGAAAAGGCACGAAAAAGGGGAAATGGTAGGTGGATCATGGAGGTTAGGTAGATTTATTTTGTTGAAAATAAGTTTTTAATAGATATATGTAAGATAAATTTTATTTCACTCATTAAATTTTTAATTACTACTTTATTTGTATATATATTTAGAAAACGTCTAAAACGGCTCAAACCGGCCGGACCCCAATCAGACCAGTAAACCTCAAACTCTTTGCTTGACCGGCTCAATGACTTAAACCTGTTTGACAACCTCGATCTACAACATATGTGAACATCCAATTAATGTATCTTTTTTGGTAGAACCGCATGGAGGTTTGAACTTATCTTACACAGTTACTTCAAGCTGAAGGTGGTCAGCGGGTAATTATCATGTCAAGTCGGGCCTGGTTAAATTGGACCTCATGGTGGTTCTATTGGACCTCACAGCAGATCGAGCACAGGCCCCTCTCCAGTTTGGGTTCTACAAAGGCCCCGCTCCAGTTTTACAACCATCACATTTTAAGCTTTACACACTGTCACAGTGTCACTTTGGAACAGCAACTTCAATTGCTGTGGCTGTGGGTCTGAGAAGAAACAAAGTGAAATGAGCTTTTGCTTCTTTCCAAATAGCAATTTCATCATTGTATCTTTCCATCAATGCCAATTACACCAAAAAGGAACAATTAGTTTGTGCAGAATCTTCATCTTCAAGACAATAAAAGGCTCTTTTAAGCACACCTTCAAACTTATTCATTTAGTTGATAACTTAAGCAACTCAAACTATATTACCCGTTGATTTATTTCTAAGAAAGAAAAGATTGCATCCGACAAGTTCTGGCATCAGATGACAATTAGGAGGGCACACAAACAATCATAGTAAGTGTTACTACGTCAAAATAGAGCTTCGAGGAGATGATGGATATCCCCAGGTAAGAACAAATGTAACAATTCCTCACATTGATAGAGAGCACTAGAATCAAGAGTCAACTATGGTCGAAACTGATTAGAAGTATGTTTGCATGCTGAGTCATTTGTGCCAAGTACCATCCGGTCATTCAATGTTTATCTACTGGAACGTTAAATTAATGTTTCTTTTGGGATAACTATATATGGCTCTAACTTATCCGACCGCCATTGACAGCACAAGCAACTCTTGTTTTTATCAGGCGCCGTTTTACTTCCTACAAAAAGAAAACAATACATCAGACGAATTATGCTATTAGATGACAACATATACTACTATACCATAATGACTATGAAAGCACACAAACAATCATAATAAGTTTGCACCGACTCAAAGCTAGAGCTCTATCTCTATGAGACGGTCACACCTTGTTTGGATGTGGGGTAATATCCATTAGCCAAAGGTCACCTGATTGAGGATTGGTGCCCTTTTAACAAGGGGAAGTAACTTCACTTACTGTGAGTCTGAAATGAAACAAAGTAAAATGAAAAATGTACTTTTACTTCTTCCCAACTACTGCAATTTCACCATTGTAATGACGAAACTGAAACCTCTGCCACCAAAGCACTCATAGTTCTTTCTTTCTTACTTACCCGCACAGCTTTGAGTTTCATGTGCATGTTCGGATTGGCGTATTTGATGAACTGCTCTTTCACTATCAGTTGGGACATATAGGCCTACAAGTTGCTGGTCTTGTTGCGGTTTAATCTTGTGCTCAAGTTAAGTTTTATTTCGATCGGTTTGCATTCTAACATCACATTACATAACATGCGAACTTACTTCTAATTAGTACCGCAAGTAAGAATATGAGCTGCTTGACCAATTGAACAAGTTCAAATCAGGTCTGGCTCCATTGGATGGAGCTATTTGTTTGAGAAAAATAGCATATGGTGATTCGAGTTTTATCTACAACACACGTGTGCATTAAATTAACGATTCTTTAAAGCATATGCATATATATGGTTCAAATTTATCTCTTCGTCGGCCGCCATTGACAACATAAGCAACTCATGCTTTTATTAGGCGCCGCTTTTATTTTTAAAGAAAGACAACAATACATCAGACGAGTTCTGCTATCAGATGACTACATCATCACAACTGTTAGAGCGTGTAGACAATCATAGTGCGTGTACTAATATTTATCTAAAACATCTGCAAACATTAATCCAATATCTCTTGTTAACAAAACTATCTATAGGTTTGAACTTATATGGCCGCTAGTGAAGCATCGGTATCTCTTTTAAGAAAAAACAAACAGTACACAAAACAAGTTCTATTATCATATGCAAACATATACTACAACAACATTACAACACCATGACGATGATAAAAGCACACAAACAATTTGTACTAACTCGGTGGTAAGCGCTAGTCTCTACTCTCTTAAAGCTCCAATATTCCCGCTGTGATTCAGCTTTTGCCAGACTCTGTAACGAAGAGCCACTGTTACCCTTTGAACTCCTCTCCAGGCCTCCAAGGTTCCGCCGCTTGCATTTCTTCCCCCTTATATAACAAAGCAAACCCACCAGCCATCGAAACATGGAAAACCCAATTCCTTCCACAACAGCAGCCATGGAAATGGAACCCAATTCAGCAGCAACAACCCATGAAAATGGTAGCTTGGGTCGGGTCAATTCATTGGAACTTGGGAGGCTCCATTGTTGTTATGATCCTTTTCTCGTTCTTCGGCCAAGCTGCTTGTGGTCTAACCTTTGGAGTCGTGCCCTTTGTCTCCAGAAGGTAGAATATATATCGTTACATATTAATACGGTAACATATGTTAGTGTCGTATTTTACTAACTACACATATGTATGTAGGTCTTTAGGGTTAATCTCGGGAATGACGGTTGGAGGAGGGAACGTGGGAGCGGTGAGAACTCAGCTGGCATTCTTCAAACGGTCAAAATTTTCCAAGGAGACTGGAATCACATACATGGGAATAATGATCATTTGCTGCACTCTCCCTCTATGTTTGATCAACTTCCCGCAGTGGGGTGGCATGTTTTCCGCCGGTCGCAGCAGCACATCGTCTGCCACCGGAGAGGATTACTACGTGGCTGAATGGAGCTCACAGGAGAAGGAGAGAGGGCTACATCAGGCTAGCTTGAAGTTTGCTGAAAACAGTAGGAGGGAGCGAGGGAGAAGATCGACTTGCAATACTGCGCCAGCTAACGACACATCCTCGTCGTCGCTAGCAGAATTCGCGGTCTGAATGAATGCCCGTCGTTTAACATGGGACGCTATAGATTGTACTATGATGTTACAAGCTATCCATGAGTGGATGCTTTTGTTTGTGTATTCTACTAGTGATGTACCATGTTAGCGTTGTTCTATGTGAAATTTACCAGGTAGTGTTGTACCATGTTAGTGTTGTTTTGTGTTACATTAATTGAGCAATAAAACAGAGGATCTAACAAGCCTAAACACCAAAACAACGTCCTTTCATGTTCAAGAACAATTCCACCGGTGATATTTTTGCCTTTAATACTCTGGAGAAGATGGGGCAAAGCTCCTTACTTTTGCCCTTCCTTAACCTTATATGTCTTAACTTGTATCTAGCCATTTTGGGAAGTTAAACTTTGACTCCCACTTTTTACCACCATCCCATTTTAAGCGTTACTTACTGTCACTTTGGCAGAGTAACTTCAATTGCTCTGGGTCTAAGATGAATGAAACAACGTCAGTAGTAATTTCATCATTGTATCCTTCCATTAATGCCAAAATTGACTTTAACCAGAGCTTCAGACCAAGGTAGGAGCTAGTCTGCACAATTACACATAAAATGAACTATCAGCTTGTGCTAAAAAGCAGCAGGTCATTCAATCTTTATCTACAAGGACTCTTTTAAGCATACCTATGTATGATTCAAATTTATCCTATCGTTATTGATAACATAAGCATGTCATGATCTATTCGGCACCGTTTTAGTTTCTAAAGAGAGGAAACATTCTATTCGACAAGTTTTGTTTTCAGATGACAACATACATTACAACATCATAACAAACACGATAGCATATAAACAATAATAGTAAGTGTTAGTAACTCCAAATAGAGCTATGAGGATATGATGGATACCACATGATAAGAACAAAAATGACAATTCCTCACATTGACAGAAGGCACTAGAATCAGGAGTCAACAATCTCCGACACTGATTAGAAGTATGTTCGCATGCTGACTAATTTGTGTTACGTACCATCCAGACATTCAATGTTTATCTACAATGCATGTCAACATTAAATTAGTGTAGGCTAAATTACAAATTTGGTCACTCAAATTACATAAAAGTTTCACGATTGCCACCCGAATCACTTTTCTTTCTGATTCGCTACTAACTTTACGTATCATTTCATCGTTAATCACTAACCGTCGGTCTCCGTCAGACTCCGTTAATTTTTTGATGATGTGGCAACCAGAACTGATGACTAGACCATTAACTTTATGACATGGAAATTTAAAAAATAAAATAAAAAAGAGCACCCTCTCTGTTCTTCTTCTTCCTCGACTTTTTAGCCATGGCCTGTTTCAAATTGGTGAAACTTAATCGCGTTCCAAGTCTCATCTCCAATCTCCCAAATCCACTTCTTCTTCTTCCACCTACAGACCCACCTCTATCTCTCCATTCCTCCAACTCTTCTTCATCGCATCGCATAATATCTCCATCTATTGCTTAAAAAATCCAGCTCTGCCATGGCCACCCCAACCTTCGAACACCCCAGCCTCCCCAAACGTTATAATTGCTGAAGAACCGTTAATAGCGCAGTGTTGAAACGTTAATATTAAGTAACGTTAATAACTGACAAACAAACGTTACTGATAGCTACGACGCAAGTTAAACTTGTTGATAAATATGGACATGAAGTTTTGTTTCCACCCATGTGCGTAGGGGTGTTCAAACGGATTGGTTACCGTGGTAACCATATTAACCGGTAGTATTCGCCTATTCGGTTAATTTGGTTTGGGTAATTTGGATAATTGGCTTGGTTTGGTTAAACAATTTAGCTTATTTGGTTTGGTTTCAACACTACTAACCAATGAAACCAATTAATGATACACCTAATATACAAAATTATTTATACTTCCATGCAACCAACCAAACCAAATTTTCGTCATTCCCTATTTTATTTTCATGTGCACAACATACCAAAACATTATGGGTCAAAAATTAAATGGGTATGTCTATTTACTAAACCAAAACATTTTGGACAGCTACTAGACTTTATGATTACATACAATACCATGACAACCACTTCAAACTATGAATAGTTTAAGTGTTTTGTAAGAGAGCTTTAACTTCCTGATGAGGGGTATTGGTATGTTTTTGTGTTAAGGGATTTGTTGTAATCTAACTATATTAGGTGGAAAGATGATGAATGATGTGTTAACTTGAATGATGATGATAAATTGATAATCATGGATGGTTAGTCTTATTATTGCTTATATATAATGATAGTTTATGATAGTAACAAACATATGGTTATTTTTATTCATTAACAAGATAATTGTTTTCATGTAATGTTATGTTATTTGGTTAATCCGATTATCCGATTAACCAAACTAATTAAACTTTGTTTTGATTAATTTGATTTTCCTGTTAATTTGGACGGTTTGGTTAAGACATTTTATTCCATGGATAATAAAATTTAGGCTTAATTGATTTGGTTATTACCACGATAACCATTTGAACACCCTACATGTGCGGAATGGAAATTAATTAAATAACGTCCACCAGCTTTCAAGTTCCCCAAAAGTATACATGGAAACACATCTAATATTTGCATATCACACCCATAATAACATAAACCCAAAAACGTAACACCATTTATTCTTTTCCTATCTATATCGCTAATCTCTCTCTATATATACACACACACCAGAAACTAAGTTACCATACGTATTTATTCACCCACAATGAAGTCGAGCAACATAACAATGCTAACGAGGGCGGCGGTGGCGATCACCACCTCCCTGGTGGCCGCCGTCGCCAAAGCAGAGGAGGGCGAGGTAGAACCAGCGGGGTTCCTGCCGAAGAAGACGACGGTGACGATCACCAACAGGCTGGAGAGCCAGGCGGAGCTGACGGTGCATTGCAAGTCCAAGGACGACGACATCGGGGTCAAGGTGCTGAGTTACAACCAGGAGTTCGGGTTTCACTTCAGGGCGAACATATTTTTCACGACTCGGTTCTACTGCTCGTTCGAGTGGCCGGACGGCGGCGGGATCCACTGGTTCGATATTTACAAGCAAAATAGGGATTATTCGGTTTGCAAGGACTGTCAGTGGATTGTGAAATCTCTTAGTCCATGTAGGTTTAATGATGTGACTAAAGCTTATGACGTCTGCTATGAATGGAACAAATCAAAAGTCTGATTAGTGAAATAACAAAATCATCTAATAATTAAGGAGAATAGTCATACCGTCGTATATATTATGAAAGTAATTAACCAAGCACAACAGTTGACCAATAACCAATTGACAATCTCCACAACAATTCGAAACAGAAAAACCATGGTTCAAACACCACTATATAAAATTCCTAAATGGAGGGGTCGACGAGAGGGTGGATTCCGATGAAAAGGATTTGGGACAGTCGTTCAAGGTGACCATCGGCAATGGGGGGCCGTCATTGACGAACTCGCCGACGAGTTTAGCCATTGAGGACGACGATGCGCAATTTGCGTCACTGCACCTGTAAAAGATAATTGAGATAATAGTTAAGTTTTCGAAACAGGATCTTTTTAAATTAATTAATTCCTGTCTTAATTATCACCATTATGATTTCCGTTGCTAGTTATTAGCCTTTACTATTCCCTTAATTTACGTTCTCATCAATAATTATCTTTTAGTAATCTAATTAATTTTCCTTTTATATTTATGACTGATATGAGTTTATCATTATTGACATTTCTTCGTTTGAACTTTTGATAGTCATTTATTTGGCTTTAAAGTAGGAATACATGTTCAAATTACAAATTTCTTTCCTTACTTTTTAAGTGAAGGGTATAGATGGATTCCTCCTGTTGTGTTTAATTATTATAGCAAATATTTATTAATATTTTGCACTCATTGATTATAATGTACAAATCTTTTAAGAGTTTGAATTATATCGTTGGTGGTGTATTTTCGATAATATCGACTTTGTTGTAAGGGCAAGATTTAATCTCTTATAATAGAGATTTCTAACACCATAGTCATGCCTTTTTATTAGTCATTTGCATGTGCTCATCTGGTATGAAAATAATTGAAGGACGTGCAATAATCTTCATCGATCTATCAGGTGATTGTTCGATTTTATTCGCTTCATCAAATTTATGAGATCAATTAAACAGTCAAAGATTGCTAATGCATTTTTCTTTTCTTTGTTGTGGTTTTTGTGGCAACTCGATACTGGTCATCTGACATACTTTGTCGAAGGAAACTACACTCGCTGGCGGGACTATCTTGGAGACGTTGGGTTTTTATTTTTGTTTTCCCCCCGTCAGTGTCGTGTCTTTGCTCCTCAGAGTTTCTTCAGAGCTGCCCAAGTAGTGGCTTAACAAGATCTTTCATCGTAGTCTGGTTGCATACGGACTGTCGCGCAGTGTTTGAGTCGATCATGTAATCGTGTCGAGTCTTTGTCCCATGCCCTTTGGGCTTGCGTTGGAAAAAAATATAATTCCAGAATAAATAGGTCGGTGATACCTTCGTAGAAGGCCTGAGTTCAGGTCCTTAAGCCTCATTTTTTAAGGAGGATCTTAAAGCGTTGTGATTGGTTGATTTGGTTTTAGGTAGTTGGTAAGGAGTTATTAGTTAGTGAGGAGTTATTAGTTGTCAAGGGTATGTTGGAATTATAAATAATATAAAAACTGAATAATAAATCCTACTAATTTTCAATCCCACGTCCCGTTGGGTTTTCTCCCTCCCAGCGTAACAGGTTTTGTGTTAACCCGTCTCTTCGAGAGCAGTCTCCAGTCATCTCCGTCGTCGGGAATCTCTGTCTTTATTATCCGGGCCCAACTTCTTGTTCTCCCCAGTTTCCTGTCCGGTCCTCGCTTTGTCCCCAAAATCCGTTCCCGACTTTGCTTCAGTCCGTCATCTATCCCGTTCAGTTTGTCGTCGATCCCTGCTCTCTCCTCGGCGGCGTTCAAGGTAATCTTCGTCGCCTTCCAAGGATCCCGTTCACTGACGATGGTCAATATCTTTTCCCAATCTGTTTAATTAACGTTGAAGAGT